CGGTGGGGGCGCGCTCTGGGCCGTGTACTGGGGGAAGGGGGCGGGGCCCGGCTGAGCCTGAGGCTGGGTTTGAGGTGGGGTTGAGAACAGCGCCCTCTGGCTGCGGTAGGGCGACCCCTGAGGCTGAGGTTTGGGGGAGTGGAGGAGGGAGGGGCCTGGGTAATGGACAGGAGAGGAGGGCAGCGGGGTGGGGTGCAACTTTGTGGGGGTAACGGGGGCAGGTTTGGGTCCTGGGTGCTTGTTGATCGAGTTTGCCACCCAAGCTTGACCGTCGCTGTCGTCTTCCACCACCGGTCGACTGGAAGGCTGAGCAGGGCCACCAGGAGAGCAGGGCTGAGAGGGACAATTGCACAAATTAGTTTCACTTAAAAAAATAGAACAAAATTCACCAGGGTGGGTTCAGGTCTGCTCACTGTGTGGGTGGGGGTTTTCTGGAGACTTGGCGATGCACACTCTCTCACTGCAGTCGTCTCTCCTTCCGTCTCACCATCTATAAGAAAAACACAAAATCATGAAAATGTGTCGACGGCTGAACGGCTCCTGTTCTGGTTCATCTTTATCCTCACCTGTGTCTTTGTCTTTGCTGAGCAGCAGAGCTCTGTGATACCCGCGCTCCCTCGCCTGTTCTACAGAAGTTGACGACGTCCTAAAAAAAAAAAAACACAGTAAACAATTGAATAAATCCATTTAACAGAGTAAAAGTTACTAAAATGTTTCCTCTGATGGCTCGTACCACTGCCCATCTCCTCCCTCCTTCTCTCCGACTCCCTCCCTCTCCTCGCTCGTCTGAGGCTCCTTCACCGGGGTGTTGAYGGGAGCTGGGGGAGCAGGGGGTACAGGGGGTACAGGGGGCTCGCTGGGCGGTTCTAGAGTCACGGGGAAGACGTCCACGGTCAAAGGCGGCACGGTGGAAACGGGGGAGCTGCACTCGGTCTTGGAGCCACTGCGGCGAGCTTCTCGCTGTCGCTTGCGATACTCCAGCAGGGAAACCTGAGGACAACAACTTTATGGTCATTTCAACGTTTACAGCTGGATTTGTAATCAGTGCAAGTAAACTGAAAAGATTTAAAGGGGACCTATTATGCAAAATTCACTTTTTAAAGTTTTTTTTTACTCAACTTTGGGTATGTACTTCTTAAAAAAACAGTCCTAGGACCAAAAAAATGCACCCAGGGGCATATTTACTGTACGTAAATGTATTTTTAATGTATATTAAAGACAAGTTTTATACTTCCGTCATTTTGTGATGTCACAAGCCGTATGACAACCCACCGGAACCTGCGTTCAGTTCCTTATCTAGCAACCCCCGGGTGAGGCTCCACTTCCTCAGTATAAATAGCTGTCACTGTTGTTGTTGTGTAATGCACAGCTCATTTCACAACAAGCCTCCAATAGGGYAATGGGTAGAGTGTAGGACCAGAGAGTGGGAGACCAGGGTTTGAGACCAGCACGGACACAATTTAATTATTTATTTATTTTCATTCGTTATGAACACGTTTTCTCATGTACTTCTATTGTTTAGCTTATTAAAGCCTTGTTAAAGCCTATTTGWTCGAGTTTCTGAGGTATTTTGACCGCTGCTGCTCCCTGCTCTGGTAACAGCATGCAGAGTGAGCGCAGAGCAGAGGAGGGAGGAAAAAAAGAAGCTGCGACCACAACTCTGCCTCTGGGTCTCATATGGTTGTACAATGGAGCTTCTGCTATTATTAGCCATGCTAACRTAAACGCTGGCTTTGGAGGGCGGAGTTAATGTAACAGATTTTTGGAGGGCGTTACCAACAGAGCTCATTAACATAAACAGCTCTTCTGAACKGAAGTCAGAGCAGGCAGAACTAGAAAATGGGAAATTTTATTATCTGAGAATTATTTTGTGCATTAAATTGAATGAACATGGTCTGGATAGCCCACAGACTTACCATAAAAATTTCTAGGACCCATAATTGGTCTCCTTTAAACACAAGCTGACACTGAGCTCCAATCTGACTTAAGATCAAAATGCTAAACTACGTTAAAACAGTAGAGGGCAGCGTTTGAACAGCTAACCCACTTTAGTTGCTATATTTACTAAAACAAATAGAAACATAAACGATATAAAGTACAAACATTTTTACGAAGATGCAAAGGTCAGAATAGATCCTCACCTTTTTCTTTTGTGGAGGGTTCTGTGCCGACCCCCCATCCCCGCTGCCGTCCCCGTTCAGCGAGCGTGACAYGGCCAGCACGGGCCCCTCGTCAGAGCAGGGGTAGAAGATCGGCCCCTGGGTGTCGCCGAACGGAGGCTGTGAGCCAGCCAGTGACCCCGTTCCTGTGGAGGGCCCTGCTGAGGGCTCGGGCCTAAAGGGAGCTGCCAGGGGCTCCAGGGTGTGGGAGGGGGTGAGGTCCCTTAAGTTTGAGTTGACTGGAGAAAAGTTCAGGCCAGCTGGTCCAGTCGGGCCTCTGTCCGGGCTTTTGATCCACCCGGAGTAAGAGGAAGCACACGTTTCTGTATTTAAAGACGCCTCGCTTGGACTTTCTATGACCCCGCCATCTGTTCGGTCCTCCTCGGGGTCCACCAAGTCTGGAGCTGGAAGCTGTGGACTCTCTGAAACAGGGACTTTGACTTCTGTAGAGAGTACGTCTGCAGCGGGAGCTCTGATGCAGGGAGAGGAAACCAACGAAGGAGGAYGATCGGCCTAGGATGGAAGGAAAGRAGCAACCTCAGATCAAAACCTTATCATTATAGTATTTTATGTGTGATAACTACAAATTTTAAAGGCTGAAACTCTTCAAATGTGTCAGAAAGTACCATTAAACATGAATTAATCCTAATGTTTTCTGTTTTTAAACTCTTAATCTTTCAATAGTAAACCTAAACTAATTGACATAAAGGGATAAAACAAATACTAAAAGAAATTAAAGTACAATGCCCAGCCCACCTCTTGCAAACATGGTTTCCGGATGACCTCTGGTGAATTTTCTTCTGAAGATTCATTCTGTAAGAAAAAAATATAATTACCTTTTTCCCTTCATACAATAAATAAATAAATAAATAAATAAATAAATAAAAAACAGAATGAGAAGAAATGCTAAAGACAACTTTACCTCCTGAGGTGCACTAAGTGTGTTTGTTGGGGTGCTGGGCAGGGGCTCTGTACTCGGCTCCTCTGTTCGGGGCCGAGGCGGGGTGGTCAGTAAGGCGGGCGTTCCGGGCGCCTCGGACTGATCCACCCGGGTGGGCGTGGCACAGGGGGAACCGTAGGGCGTCGAGCTCTCAGATATGCAGGCGTCTAAGGGGCTCAATCTGCGCTTTTTCAAAGGGGTGGGCAACTCTGAAGGAAACAAAAACATGCATTCTGTCACTTGTGTGCCTGGAAATGGAAATAGAAGCTAAACTAAATTGAACTATTAAAGCTTTATAATCATTCACATTATTATACAGGATAGAGTATGACAAAGACGCACCTGGTATGGAACAAGTGCCGTTGTAGAGTACAGGACTGTCTGAGTCACCGTTAATGGAGGGGCTGAGGGGGCCGTCACTGGACATCAGGATGCTGGAGCGTCTGGCTGGACTGGTGGACCCCTCCTCCTCTAAGGCCTGCTTCAACCATCGCTGAGGAAAACAACAAACAAAAAAACATGCACACCATCTTAGTAACATTTTAAATCTACATTTGATTTCAACAACACTCACAAAGCGTCAGCSGGTACCTTCTTGCAGGAGCCGGTTGTCGGCGGCGTCTCCGGCAGCTCTCGAGAGCGCCGCCTCCCGGTGGGGACTCCGGGAGTGGTGGGGCTGCGGTTGGCCAGGAAGGGGGACGAGAAGCGGACGTAGTGTTTGGGCGTGCTGTAAACCTGCGGGGAGCAGGTCATGCCTGGTAAGGCGTTCAGCTGAGTGGCGAGCACTTCGGGGTCGCTGCTTATTCTCAGCGGCCTCTCGGGGGCTGGTTCGGGGGTCCGTACCGCGCCCCGGTCCTGCTGCTTCTCTCCCACCCACTCACTCACGACAATCTGGTTTGRGGAGAGAGTTAATACGTTAAGGATCTAATTTTCCATCAAACAAATCTCTCCTTTCGGTTCGTCGAAGCTCATTTTTGTACCTTTTTTGTTTTGAAGTTCTTGCTCCCCGGGCGGTTCCTGTCAGGAGCCGGCGAGCTGCTGTGTGGGGGGCTGCTGTCCGGGACGTGTGACACGAGGGTGTCTGGCTCTGGCGCTAAAGGGCTCTCTCCTTCGGGTGCTTCACTGCTCAGAGGCTCCACGGGTTCAGCCGGAGAGCTGGGAGTCAGGTCGGAACAGGTGCTGATGGTGCGTGCTCGCCGCCGCTGCTGGCCGATGTGAGTCCGGCTTCTTGAGAAACTCTTCCTGTTCCGTGACGGCTTCACCTTGGCTGGCTTCAGGCCCGGCTCCTCCTTTATTTCAAGCGGTGGCTGGAAAACACAACTTTGTAAGTCACACGCTCTGGCAGAACATCATGTTTCATGTGTTTTGACAGAGTCCTCACCTGCATGACAGCYGGAGAATCTGCTGTTTCCGGCGTGGAGGGAGGTTCCTCTTTTATGTCGCTGCGGGCTCCCACTTCTGTCTTCGTGCCGATCCGCTCCAGGGCCTGCTCCCTGCGCTTCTCTCTCTTCTCCATTCGRGCGAACGCTTGAAGGATGGCCTCCATCTTCCTCTCCTCTCGTGTCTACAGAGGGTCAGGTGCGGAGTTGGGAGGAAGGGATGAAGAGACGTGCRTAATCGTTAGTCTAGAAGGAGGCGATGGAAGATGGCGAGGCCCGCGCAGCGACAAGCGGCTCTAATGTAGCGAAGGTGCGAATGCAGACAGGTGGAGGAAGGAGCAACAAAAAAAAAAAGAAGAACCCGTTGCACCAGCTTTAGCCTGATAAAATACTTATTTACAAGGAATGATTTTCCCCAATTTCAAACTCTAATTCTCAGAAGCCCAGTTTTTCCACACTGACTGTTTCTACAACTTCTATGAAATAAAGCACAAATAATTCTAAACACAATCCTGCAAAGTTCTTCAACTTTTTAATTTTTTACAAAACACTTGTCCGAGTTAATATCAACAAAATATTCTAATTATCACCATTCTAATAWTTTGTATACTTTATAGACAAAATAAGACAAGAGTTCCCCACATCCTCCAACCGCCTTAWATAATAAATAAATTATTTTCAGCTGGAACAGTAATCACTGCAGTGCTTTTTCTATAACAAGCTCCTACTAGCTGCACCTGCATCATCGCACATCACAGGTCCTGTAGCAGGCAAATTAACCAGAAGTAACTTCACTAAATGTTTGTATGTTACGGCTTTTATTTTGACAGAAGCGAGTGTCTGCGGCAAACAAAAAGCAACACTTTCATTTTGTTGTAAAGCTTCCAGGACAATAATGGCAGCCTTTTTTTGAGAACTGTGGAGGAAGACGACGAGGATCTTGGCAAAAACGAGGAGAAAAAGCGTTAAAATCAGGTTTAGCTTGAATGCTAATATTTAGCGTGACAAAAACAGAAACTAAGCTGAACACAGAGGCAACACGTTAGCTWTGTTTATTGGTAAAATACGTTATGATAGAAGGAAACTTGTACTCAGCTCCCAGCACAATAAAAGCAAGCAATAAAAAAATAACAATAACTCTCAAATACAGATAAAAACATACTTGTTGAAAATTCCTCTTTTTTTATTGAGTTAGAAAAAATATCATAATGTTAGTTTTTTCCAATATAGTGCAGCCCTAGCTTCTACCCATTTACAAGCTAACTTTAGACCATGTTATAATCCTGCTGTGTGTTTATGAAGTAACGCAAACTTAACTCATAATCACATGAAGGAAATTTGGCAACTCAAACAGTAAATCAGGACACCYAGTAACAAAAACAACAATTAGGCTGCATGTCCAATTTACAGRACAATACCGGTTTAAAATAATAGCTCTAAATTGTGCAAAAATACGGAGCCAACAGTCACCCGTTATCTGCCCTGCACCTTGTTGCAGCCTGGATTTACAGCATCCACAATAATCTTCTGTGTTGGTGACCGTCAGTGTGTGGATTCTTTACTTCGGCACCAGAACTCCTTTCTGAATCCGCTGCACAGAAGGCAGCTTATTGGATCTCCCAGAGTCAATACGGCCCTGACAACAAGGCTCCACGCTCTGCAGCCTCCCTCCTGTCAGCTATCTGTCTTTCTGTAGCTAATTAGCAGAACTGTGTGTCGCCCAGAGATGAGTAAGCACTTTACACCTCGGATCCACTGTGTAAAAATGAAAGCCGACTGCGGGGTAATTTCCAGAGCGTGTGTGTGTGTGTCTGTGCATCGTGCTCATCTGTGTGCACCATCCCATCTCTCGAGGACGTGAGGCCGTTTGGCAGAGGGAGAGGAGAGCGGCTCGTACTGGGCCATTTCAGTGTGCAGTGAAGGTTAGAAGAGAGCTGTGCTGAAACTGTAATGTACGTTGAGAGGCTGTYTGAGCTCACGTCGAAACATTAAATGGGTTTCGCTCTCGGTGATAGGAGGTGCTTTTTTTAAAAATTTTATTTGTTTTTTACAAGAACATCACTCTGCAGGTCTGTGAAAAGGAGAAAAACATAAAATGATGGCTGCTTCATGACAAACGAGCACAAAGTGACAGAGCGGTGAGGRAAATTAGTCAAAACTAAAAGGATGGAAATATAAATACAAAAAAAGAGCAAAACAGCAACAGGTGGTGGGAAGCCTAGCAGTGATGAATGATGAAGAGGAGGCTAGATTGATGGGAGAGAAGAAGAGAAAAACCGCTCCAATCCAAGCCTTCAGCAGACAGGTATTTAAGTCGGCACCAAGACGAACAGGATTTGATTTTCTTTTTTTTTTAAGTTTGATTTTTCTTTTTCTGCAGGGTGGCTGCAAAGCAAAAGAAAAAAAAGCTGTAGCCCCTAACTTAGTACACTTACCATCTTCCTCCTCCTCTCTGCAATCTGCTCCTCTGACTCCATCTCTACTTCATTGCTAATGGAGGTTTTGTCTTCTAGATCCTCAAATAACTCAGGATCCTGTAAGAGGAGGGGAGAGCCGAGTGTGGCACTTTCATCATTCAGTCTGATTACAGACTAGAGGGGAACAGGGGAAAGTTGAGGAGAGGTGAAAAGTGTGAGGGGGGAGAAGGGAAGATGCTGAGGGGAGAATTCTTCGAGGATACAAGGGGGTGAGCTGCTATCATCCTTAATGGTCTGAACACAAACGCCTGCTTGAAATCTGCTTAGAAATCTTTTAGAACAAATATTGTATTTGATTCAACAAACCCCTCAAACTGTGCTTTTATAGAACTAATACTAAATAAACAAAGCATTTTAGGTAATCTGTTCTACTCCACAGACGTTTGACAACACTGAGGAAACACCTTCATTCCTGAAACTAGCTCCTTACAAAGCAAATCAAACACTGTGTCTGAATTTAACCTTCCAAACGAGTCATCTTCATAAGTACTTGTGACAAGTTAAAATAGAGGTTTTCAGCTGTTCCGTTTTTCCAGAGCAAAGCCAAACCACAAACACCATCAGAAAAGTGACAACGAAGTGTCCTGTGGGATTAAAAATCTGGATTTTGGCACCAAGTTTTGTAGAATAGAGGGACAAACTTGAATGCATACAGGGAGGACAGTGAAAAAAATACAGAGAACTAAATAGGATTAAAAAAGTGAGTAACGATGGGAAAAACACATGCAAAGGTTATTCTACAAACAAAACTGAATGGAGTGTGAAGGTGATGGTGTTTGTAAAGAGTCAATAAAAGATGGGTTTATTWTGAGTTATATGAAGAAACTTACCTGGTTGTTTGAGATGGAGAGGCGAAGCGGCGAGAGTTTCCTCTGTTTGCCGTCTCCTAAGCTTTTGCCCTTCCCCTCTCCGTCCAAAGCCAAGTTCTGGTTCTGGGCCGGGTCATCCCGAACCGAGTCTTTGCGGCTCCCTCTGCGTCTGACTCCGGAGCTCAGGTTCTCAGTGGGCTCTTGGTTGTGCTTCAGCACCGGGCATTCCTGGTTCCCCTTCACGCACGCACAGTCTACTTTGTATTTACTACAAAATAATCAATAACAATTAGAAGGGGATTGAGTGTAGAGAGGGAATACAGTAACATTTAGTTTACGACTTTAACTCACCAGTTGCCATAGTCGAAATCAAAACCAATTGTGATCTCTGTGCCTTTGGGGATGGGCCGCAGTGAGTAAATGTATAAATGTAGCATTCCATCCTCAATAACGTGCCGAACCTGAGAGGGTCAGAGCAATGGATTATTATAAAACACAGCGCCTTACGTTCAGCTGAATGACAACAGTGTTGGCGTGTTCACATACTTCAGAATTTGGGGTGCAAGAGCGACGGATGAAACGCGCTTCGTTGCCAAAGCTGCGAGCATCTACGCACATCTCCACTCCGTCAAATTTCGAGTAGAATAACACAAATGGGTACGGCCTGTAAAGAAGAAAAGGAGGTCAACGTATAATTAGGAAACAGTTTGCGTAATATGCCACCATTACATCGTGTGTTCCTATTTAACTTTTTCAGAGAGAAGAAAATAGAAAGCAAAAATGCACAGATAAAAAAGCTGTTTCCGACAGGCGCCCTGACCTCTTGAAAAAGTATCCGTTGGCCTCGAACTGCTGTCGAAGCATAAACTTTCCCCTGTATTCGATGATGAGGGAGTCTGGGGCCAAGTCTCGCACCGCCTTGAGGATTTTCTTGTTCTTTTGAACTTGACTCTGAATATTAAAAAAAAAGATGGCATAAGCAAAAACCCTGGACAGGCACTGATAAAATGATAAACACACACACAAAAAAAAAACTGTAAATACAACCATAATTCTGACCAAGTTCAGTAAAACATGAAYAAAAACGGTAAATATGCTTGTTTAAGGGTTGAGGTTGAAGGTTTCTACCTCCACTGGAGGTTTAAAAGAAGCTGGGTGTGTGTTGTACGCCAGGCTCTTGCCGTCGCCTTGCTCTTTAACACGCAACAGGACCTGAACGTCTTCGCTGTACTGATTGCTGCTGGCCTCCTCGTAACGCTCCATCCACGTCTTGATTTTATTCTCCCACAGAGACGGGTGCTCTGCTGGCTCCTGCTCCGGAGCTGCACCCTGGAAAAAAACAAACAAAAACAAAACAGTTCATGTTTAAGCTGAGATCTTTAATGGGAGATCTTCGAAGGACTTGGTCTTCCAGTTTACCTTCACTCTTGAGGACTTTCTGGATCCCTCTCTGAAGGCCTGCACAGAAAGCAATAAAACCTGATGTAAAAATAGCTTCAGGGACAATAAAAATGAACTATTGTTATGATTGAATGAGTCAAAACTGACCTTTTTTGCACGGGCAGAGGATGCTGGCGGTTCTTTATCGCCACTTTTTTTGCGCTTCTTGTCAGCCTGCTTATTGCCAAGGCGCCCAGTAGTCAGGGTGATGGTGGTAGGCGTGTGTTGGAAGGTGGAGTAGAGCTCTAACGGAACCTCATCTCCACTCTCTGTAGCACTGGTGTCCCCATCTGATGAAGCAAGTAAGCTATTAGGAGACAGCGCTGATACCAAACTAAATAAATGCTGCAGCAAGCTGAGGTTTGATGAGAGATGAACCAAAACATAAAACTGTAGTTTGATCTTTGCCCAGCAGGTGTCACTATGGCCCACATTTAAATTAGGACAGAAAAAAAAAACATCTAGCTTGATGTTTTTTGCAGGAGGAAGAGGCATCACCCTGACACAACTTACAACCTGCAATGCTCACCAATAAGCTGACCATTTACTGCAGCAAGGAAACAAGAAGCAGAACTGAAACCTGTATCAGTGAGGTATCGAAGAAAACCTTTAGTACAACTCACACTGAGAAATGTGGCTTTCAAAAGGACAACCTACTCTGGGGGTTTCTATCCTGTTTTTTGAATTACAATTGAAGCCACTTGTATAGATTTTATGTTGTGTAAGTGCACATTTGCTCACCGGATAGGCACTCTCTTTTCCTGGTCTGAAGCAGGATGGCTCTCTCTCTATCCAGATGTCGTGGTTGGCACCGTTCACACAGGTAGGTTTCAGGAATGTTCTGCCTGTCAATGCCCATGCAGTCTATGTGCTGCCAGGCACTAGGAAAAACAACACAAGGCTGTTAATAAACTCTTTTTAAACCCATTCAGGCCAAAGAGGTTCAATAAGACAATAATTACTGAGCACAAATACAACATATGATAACGTTTGGAGGAAAAAAATCTGAAGGGAACACAAGTTGACACTTGCGATAATCGTGCTCAGCCAGGATTTTACCTGCACTTGTCACAACAGATCATGTAGCCATCATCGTGGGTGAAGCCACAGATGCAGCGAGTGATGTCAGCCCCGTAGCTGCCATCTTCTGAGGTGCTGAGGGTGGTGCCCCTGGATGCTTCATCCTGTCCCCCTGAAACAAACAGTCCCCCCTCTCCTTGTCGGATCAGCATGGAGGGTGGAGGGGAGGCCGGCGGCGTAGGTGGGGGTCGCGCCCCATAATTATGGTCCTTAAAAAGGAGTAGAAGATGTACTGAAGATTTGACAGTGACCGTGTACGAGAGGTTCATTTCTTTGCGACTTCACAGACAAATTATAAATTAAAGTTAATAAATCCACAGACAAAATTTCATTACTTGCAGCTGTTACATCAAACAGTAAAGACTAAGAATTTCTTCATCAGGCTGAGATGGAAAGGATTGATTAATCAATATTCTCTTTCARTTTCTTAGAAAGGATAAAAGATTTTAATGTCCTGACATAAAACCTACAGCTTTCATTTACTGGTCCTTATCTTGTCATGAGGTGACACAGTCTACTGAGAAAACTAAACGATGTACTGTATTAGCTCAAGTCGTGCTTACTTACAGCATAAGGCAGGCCAATGTAACTGTGGGAATGGTGAGAACTGCTGCTGTAAATCTGGTGGGGGTAGCTGGACTTTTCCACTACCACAGGGCTGGCCTCCACCGATTCTGGTCTGTTGGGCAACAAAAAAAAAACAAACAAAACAAAACAAAAAATCAAGGGTGAAAAATACAAATTGCAGAATGAAAAACACGATAACGAGGTTACATGTCACCCCTGCATGGCTTCCCTTCAACAAACACAAAAAGACACTATGGACATGATTGGCAGGGGAGCTCTGGTTGTGAGTCTTTGTGTTTGCGACCAAACAACCAGCTAGAAGCACGGCTGCATTTTGTGTGGCCTATTTGTGAAAAGTGCCTCTTATTTCTGCACGAACATCTTGCAAAACTGAATTCTAGGCATGTGGTTCCCAAAGCTGGGGTYGGGGTCACCACTACGGTTTACAAAACATCAAGTTTGTGGCCTTAAGATGATTTCCAGAAATAATTTTTAAATGGTTTTTTTTTGCTGTGTTTGTTATGAGACATTAAAACACATTGTTAGTCAAAAAACATCTTAATGGTAATGATGTCATAGTTTTGGTCAAAGTTTCTGCCAAAGATATCTTGAGAGTTGGAAGCTGAAAAGTTTTACTCTAAATGCCATGTTTATTATTTTGTCACCCATCTTTGCCCCATCATACCCACCATGAAATCCACAACCACATTTATTATTATTTATTCCACTTATTTATTCTACTGCAGTACACTTTTGAAATGAATTGGAGCAGATTTGGACCGGTGTTTATATAGTTATTCATCATCAGCCTGATTTTAAATCTGGATATTTTTGAGCTGTAGTTTTGAATGTTTTGTCAGCACTGTGAAAGTGTCAAAATACAGCTGCAGGAGGTCTAAAAATTACACAAAATAAACTGAGAGGAGCTCAAGACAGTCACGATGACTTTGCGATTATTTTCATGGAAAACTTGTTGAATAAATGTCTTGGATATTTAAAAACAAGCAACAAGGCCTCTGCAACAGAAAACTGACAATCCCACGGAACATTTCAAGACAYGGAGACCCTCTTTTGAGGATACCTTTCACAAAGTAGTCTCCAAAAGACGCAGATTAGTGAGAAACTGGTCATTGTAATGATTGAATACAGCACATCAACTGTACTGAACATAAATAAAAATCTAAATTGATGTTTCGTCACTTAACTTACATTATCAGAAACATTACTGCCTCACGTACACAAAAACAAAAACAGACTTTTTTTTCAAGCCTATTCATTCCAAACCAGTAGATCCACTTTCCTCAAGATTACAGCGCAGCCGATAGAACCAGTTTAACCTACCCTTATTATGGTACGATTAATCTATTTGTCAGCTGCTGAGAAAGTGATTCTAGGGTATGGAACTGGCAAAACAGATGGCGTGAGACGAGATGGTCAGGTATGAAGGAGTGGAAGGAAAAGAAGAGGGAAGCATGCAGAGTAACTTTCAGTGTAARGTGTCCACATGTTCAGTCAAGTTAAAATACACTTCACCCTTCTCTTAACAGCGTTGTGCAGAAAACCGCTCCAAAGTCACGAGCAAATAAAATAAACAGAGCATGGGTACGTGTGATGGGATGATTTTTATCTGCTGTGTTTGTGACAAAAAAAAAGTATAAAACTTCCAGCAAGTTGAATTAAACAAGGTAAAATTCACATAAAAAGTCCCAGTTTTGGAATAAAAAACGCATTAATAACCTCTGAACTGACCATGCTGGCACAAGTGTGAGACTCAATAAGTGACTAATTTTACAAGCCATGTTTTTGACAGCAGCATGGTGAAAGGACTAAAAGGATCATTAAAAAAGGCTGTTTAATCTTAAATAGGTAAACATTTGAACACGTGTCTCGCAATCTTGTTCCTCGCTCCCTCAAGTCCAAGGTAATTTAGTGCTACGATACCTGTGTAAGCTCTTCTCAGCCCTAATGCTCTTCTTGCACGCTGAAAGAGTGCTGTGCAACACTTCCTGTGTATTAACGCTCAACTCTTCAGTGTCAAAGTGAAAACGTAAGTGTGTGCATGAGGTCTGGAGGCGGTGCCAAAGAACGGGGTGTGTGCGCACACAACAGCTCAACTGTCACACAAGATAATGTGACTTGTGTGCACAAAAAGTTACATTTAAAAAAAAGGTATTCAAAACTACGTTGAGGGGGCTGCACTTTGAAGTTTATTTAGAGAAAAGCTACACTTTATATTGATGTTTAATATTAGATTAAACTTATGTTGAACTTTTTAGGTCAAACAATTCGTAGGAGATAAACTCACAGGCAGCGACTTTATGAGCGACAGAAAAAAAATGCAGATAAGCCAGCTTGGTGAGTGAAAGAGAAAGCATATTTGTGTAAATTTGTGTATAATGTAGGTGAAGCGATTGGATCATTCATGTCACTACTACTGAAATGTGTAAAGGAGTCAGTAGACACTGAGGGTGGGTTGCAGGCTTACATTCAGTCATCATCATGCTCCAGTAAAATCATATATTGCCTAACGCTTGAGTCTGAAAATATGAGTAAGTGTGTGAATAAGTTTCAATCAAACTTTGTTTCTATCAGGTGTGTGCTAAAAACTGTGCTATATCCTAAAGATTTAAAAAGAAATAGATAGAATGTAAACGTTTGATAAGGTCGGCAAAGAGAAAAATCGAGAAATCAGGAGCATAGATGGAGCCGACTCCAGAGGAGACGTCCTTGCTGCTATGGAAACACAACGTGCTCTGACGGCGAGTGCGTGAACGCCAGGTTCAGTCAGTTTGGACATACGCTGCATTCGCCCCCAGCTCGTCATCCTGCTGCAGACTTCTGGGGAAGGTGAAAACGGCACTGGCGCTGTTCTCTGGTGAGTAGCCAGCCGTCCCTGCTCCACACTCAGCTGGCGCTCTTTAAATTGTGGGCGGAGCAGCGTGCGTGTGAACGGCTCCAGCTCGGCTGTGTCTCTCTGGTCTGGACTGAACCCGGGCAGCAGCCGGTGAAAGCCCCCCTTCAAGCCGGCTATCTGCCTCTGCATAAATTTGCAGCGAGCACTCAGACTYGGGGAGTGTCGAGGCAAAAGGGGGCTCTTCTGCAAAATATGAGGCGGGGGGATGGGGGGGCACTGGGACCGTTTAAGAYGCCATATCTGTGTGAGGACCACCTGTCACTCAGGGCAATGGCTATGGCAAAAAGCCATGCGCGGTGCAAAATGGAGGGAGGGGAGTGAGGCAGATACCATAGCAACTCAAGCTGTCAGGGCAACAGCTCTGGAGAAGGCAAAAAAAGGGTGGGCTGGCCCTCCTTTAAAGAGACAGAAGCCCCTCTGTAAGTAGATGACGTCTGTTATTCTTTAGTCATATGCGAACATCTCGCTTAATTTATTCAACCTGAAAAAAAAAAAAAAAAACACAGCAATGTCCTTGACAAGACTATGGGAAACGAAGAGGAGGGGCAACAGGAAGCTTGTTGCCATGGCTCCAAACATCATTTCTGCTTCACGGACTGAATGCAGTGTACACATGTGCAAACATCACGCTGCAGCTTCAGAAAGGAGAYGCTCAAGTCACATTTTTAGGTGTTTTGATTTTACTTTAGAGCGTTAAAAAGCCAAACACGCTGTGGATTTGTTAACAGTTCTGAGAGAGCAGATTTAGTTAAAAGCTCAACACTGTGTGTCCATGTAACAGGAAATAGTTCCAATCAATCACCAAACCGGACAGTCCATTAGACCAGAGTCAAACCATTTTACAGAGGGCATGCTGAGGCATAAAAAAGTATAAATTTTATATAAACAGCTTTTAATGCAAGTGAATGACGCCACAGATAGGTGAGATATGAAAACAGAAGCAGTCAGAAGGTGTGGAGTCAAACTGAGAATGAATGTTTAGTTTGTGGGGGAGAGACAGACCAGAGATGTGAGTGTGTGAACAGTAAAAGGCTTGGAGGTACTCACTCTGAGCCTGCAGCCATGTCCAGGTACGAGGTGTCTGCTGTGTCCACCCCTACTGGGATGACTATGCTCATGACGTTCTCTGCTGATCAGTTCTTGTCCTACTGAGTCCAGAGAAAGGGAGTCCAAAACACTGAGGCATGCCAGCCACAGCAGTCATTGCAGACATCTAAGTGCATCCACAAGGCCTAAAAATGCAAGGACATGAAAAGGAAAAGGAGAAACAAATCAGCTGGATTTAAGTGACAAAATAAGTACATAATGACTATAATACTTTAATCATTTCATGTACAAAAAAAAACTGCAGCATGTGAAACATGAATTTACAAATCATAGTGAGAGTGGGGTATTTCCAGCACATGATTCATAACTTGTCAGAAAACTGACAGGATTTCCCCACTTTATCTGACGAGACTGAGCTGAGGTTCCTGGCGGGTGAAGGAGTACGAGGTGGAAGATTTTTTAGGGTGACGTCCTGAGAAGCTGCACTAAAGCGACCAGAGGGACGCATCGGGCTGCACTGTGAAAAAACTCCCACAGAGGGGAGCAAGAGAACACAGCAGCCAGACTTCCAGAACAGAGGGAGGAAAATGGAACGTAGAGGCCATTTTTCCCCCCAATTCGACAGAGGAGGACTGTTCTATTTTAGCCACACTTAACTGTGCTGGATTTGAATGTGCACGTGCTGTATTTGTAGGAAAGTTTCTGCTAAGATGACTGCCTGTTACAATGGATAGTTACAAGTGGATAAAAGCAGCTTTAGCTAATTGTGTACTATATTAAYAAACAATGCACTAGAAGTAGCACAAAGGATATTTTAAGTCATGTTTTGCTTCTGATGTAAATCCAGACAGGAGCATATGTGTCAGTGTTGCTGTCCCTGATACGGAGAGCTCTGTTGATAAGCAGGATTAGTGGGAGGGACAGATGCTGAGACAAAATAGGCTGAAGGTCACACCTCCGCCTGTTCATGCAATTAAACAGCAGCTAAACAAAAACGCAAAATCACAGCTCGGGGTGTGAGGAGGTTATAGATATAAAGAATAGATCAGGTATTGAGCAGGGGAACACGAACGCTAGTCTGTACTCGTCAGTGAGGTTCTGAGAAGAAAGCATGCAGCTAAGTGCGCCCTCTGAAAGACTCCCACAAACGCAGATTTACCCAGCGTGGCTTTCGAGGAACGTTAAATTTCATGACCAGGTTTAGAACGCKACTCTGAAGCAAAACTCCTGCCACRTCTGATGGTGAGAAAAATAAGATGCTCAGTTATTTGGCTGCATTTGAATTCTAATTTACACCATCTGAGCAATAACTAGCAAGAGTTCCAGATATGACAGCTGTCAGCTCCAGGGCCAAACAATAGGAGAAACAAGACACTGGTGAGCCTGAGTGTCAGGCGAGGCTTYGGATACGATCCCCTTTCAAATTCCCCTCTGGTTATGTGTGCAGCGACCACGTTCAACAACATAACTGGACGAGCTTTTTGTGAAAGAAGCCGATGTATATCCAGAAGACTTCGTTTTAAACAACAGTCGGGCAGCTTGCCAAACGGACTGAACAATGCAGACCCTTTCTGTATTAAGCCCTCAGAAGGGCCCAATGTATGCAGCGCGGAGAAAATAAATGATCTGTACTCCGAAGCAGCTTGTTTTTTTTTGTACTGTAAACATATGTTTCCTTTTTTATTAAATACAAACAAAACATGGTGAAACGTAAAAAAATCCCTCTTATGCAAACAGGTTTGTACACTGACTTAAGGTAGCGGTTAACCAGTCTTAAATAATCCTTTATGCACACTAAGAAAATGGAAACAACTTTTACGATTTGCATTTGACATAATGTGATTCACCATCTGTTTCCTGTCTGGGTGGGCACACAGCAACTGTGCTGTGACTGATCAACAGCTTTCCAGATACAACATTAAAGACTCCTTGAAGGAATGCATTATCACCCGCCATTCTTCAAGCCAGAAAATTTAACTAAGAGCACCTCATGCTGAGAATTGAACCTAGTAAACAATATTTTGCATGGTCTTATGCAATATTGTGAGAGCTTGCAAGATGTGATAGCATTCATGATTCTCAGTGACAACCACAATAGATTTAGCTCTGTATCTGTAAGAATGATTAGTCATTTTGTTTGTTTACTGTGTTTACAATTAGCTAGTGATTTACTGTTTACTACGAATTGGGACAGCCAACAGTGCAGTGATGTAAACGACAGACAAATGTGCCCCACATCGACTGCAACACTTGGATTGGGACACAGCCCAAATGTATTCAGTTACAGACTCTAAAGTCCAGCTTTCAGAGCGTTTCATTAAAGTAAATCCAGTAGTTCAGTTCATGAGCGAATTTACTAACAAACTGGGTTAACATCAACAGATAATGCAAAAACATTGTGTATAGCACTTAAAGGAAGTGTTGCAGACAATACTCAGCCAAAACCACACAACATTTTTGATCAATATCTGTCAAATTAGCCGAGATTTTGTTGTCTAAGTTTAGTCAGCTGTGATGGCCATCTTTGACTGGTTTGATTCCATTACTTAATCAGTTGCAGGTGTTAAAACTAGTTTTGAGTTTCTTTAAAATCTGACAAATGTACACACACAAAAAAGGGCAAAACCCTAAACGTGTTAGTGAGTGATAATCACATCCATTTGGGGCAACATCACTGTTTTATTTGTATTTGAACTGAAACCCTGCTTATGTACTTTTGCACTTCACTTACAAAGTCCTATGGTCACTTAAAAGAAGTGTACACACTCAAACTCATGGTCAAACACAAGACAGCCTCTCATCCCATAGCAACTGATAACCTCCTGACCTTTCAAGAGGTTCTGAACGAAAATATGTGCTCAAGTCCGACACAGTCCACACCGACAAAAGTCAGACATAAAACCAAGTACAGAACAGTCGGCCACATTCCTGACTAAAACTGAGCTGTGCTGTGACTGCCTCTGCCTGCTCCTCCTACTTCCTCTAGAAGAGCAACCCATCACCATGGAGAAAACGTAACCAAAAGGGGGGAAAAAAAGCACCCCTCCCTTCCCTTGCTTTGCCCAGTCACCCCGCCCTGGCTGATTTCTCTCCCTCCTCTGTGCACTTCCTAAATAAACCTGAGACAGTAACGCAGAGCGGAGAGGGGAAGGGGCGTGCCGCAGAGACAGTTCCTAATCACAAGAAGCCCATAAGATATTAAAACCCCCTTTGACTGAATCCACAGCTGATATAAAAAACATATGAGACAAGCAGCGGGGGTTGGACAATGGGGGACAAGCACACAGAGTGAGCTCTACAGTGAAAAAAACTAAAAATACAAAAATAAGTACAAAAATGAATTTAATAGTAAAACAAACCACAAGATGGAAGTGGTTTGGAGTTTCTAAACGTTTTATTTCTGCAAAGTTATTCTCACTACAAAGAGCTTTATGAATTATCAAAGCTCCTCCATTTGAGAGGGCAGCGGGGTGGGGGAGGTGTACAAGGGGGCTGTCTGACTGTGATGCTACACAGTCAGGACCTTGGTGGACTCTGGGTGGCAGAGAGGAGCACATAGCATAACCCAGGCTCTTTTTTTTTTCATGGAGGGAACACAGTCACGTTAGTGTGTAAGGAGGAGATTTTGATTTAGGATATTACTGCAGTGGATGCACCGAGGGAAAACCCAAACCATCACATTTAGGATATAACGCTAAAGTAAACAACTTTCCTCTCTGTTTTTCTCATGGATAATATAAGAGTGTTTTCATCCCTGCTTTCACAGCCAGGTCGAGGCAGATTACGTCTGTAGATAAGTGGGAGGAGCAACACGAAATAAGGGATTCCGACTGGATCCCATAGCAACCTCTGCCAAGCTAATGCGACTTTACACCTTCTCCATAGCAGACTGCAGTGACTCAGCTTAGAAACTATTAAAGCACTTTACACAAATACATTCATATACACAGGAAGCTCGACCCAACAGAACATGAGCTTGGGACTCTCTTTTTTTTACTCACTATTGTGTACCCACCATGGGACACATTCCATTCGCCTTGCCCTTCATCAATCAGTTTGCCCACGACTGCCAGAGCCCCCCACCCCCACCCTGAAGGTGAAGTCATACATCAATACAGCAGGGAATATGGATGCAAGCATCCACACAAGCAACTGTAGCCACAATGGGAAAATAATACATGTTGTAGCACGAACAAAGCAATACCCCAGACTCTAAAGCCCAGTCTGCCTATTAGACAAAAGGGATACTAAATAACTGGGAAAACATGCACTCTAATGGGCAGCATGTYTGTAGGAAAGAAAGTGGTTGAGCCCTTTCATTTTAAACTGTGGTTAAATACATAAAAAAACAACACAATGAAAGAATAACTTTTTTTGACTGTTAAAACTATAAAAGAGGACGTTAATGTMCAAGAAACAAAGTTCCTTATCAGTACTTTGCAATCACTGTTCGGGAAAACGCGGGTGCTGCTCCTTAGAGTCACAACAAGCTATGTATGGTCATGGGTGAGTTTCTGTAAACAGTTTGGACTGGGGTTTCATCATCCAACATTATTGGTGTGACTGAACATGTGAGATTTGATATGCCCACAGCCCACTAGACTGAGAAAGCTACTGTGCATGTAGATTGACAAACAGGCACATATGGAGTTGTACCTAATTACAGCATTTGAAGAATGCACTCCACAGTCAACTAYAATGTGAGCTATTTGCCCATGTGTGCGCAGAAAAAATGGGGAGAGGCTAGGGGAGAGGCTACTTAGGACCCACAGAGAGAAAGAACAGTAAAAGCCACTCATGGTRCATTACAACACTGTTTATGGTCAATTTTACGCCAGAWTTGCTTTTGTTACATCACCACCATTGATGCCACATCCCTGCTTTAATCGGCCCCTTCTTCAGTATGTTACAATCCTACAGTAACCCTAGGTGCAACWGGGAGGTTATAGAGGTGTAGTAAGGCCGCAGCCTCAGCAGCACCAGATCTAAAGCCAACTGTCGGGGAAACAGCTTGCTAGTTTTAAAGAGGGATCTGTTTCGGCCCAGCTAGCAGTACAAAAAACAGGTCACCTGAACCCTGGCTTCTCTTCCCAGTTGAGATGCCATGTGACAGGACTGGGCTCCTGAACCATTCAGCTTTCTCTCTGGGTCTCTGGAGCCAGGGCACCACACATGTGAGATCACTGGAGACCGGGAAACGGCTACGATGTCCCACATGGTGAGGTGTATCTGCACAGACACACACTTWAAAAATACTACTACTGTTTCAGAGATAAGAGGTTTGTTTTTGTGAATAAGAAAAAAAACTATATGCTTCATCAGTCTTGTGAGTGTGAACCAGATGCCTATTAACACTTTTCTGGCTTCTTTATTTGTTCTATCAAACTTACAAAAATTAAAGTATGTGCTTTTTAATAGCACGTTTTCCAGTGTGTGTCTTGGGGGTTAAGGTGAGGAAAGATTTGTGTCACCTGAGACTGCTGTGAATCTACACTTCCAGCCAGTGCACCTCGTCTCTAAGGCAGAGACAGGCACTACATGCCAACTCTCCATCACAGAACAACAAAGACAAGCTATTCTCCAGCATACAGCCACAATGCACACATTGATCCAATTTAACATTACATGTTCTTCTATAATAGACAAAAGGAAAAATAATTAGAAATTGAACAGAGGCTGTGGCTTCTTTACGAGGATGGCCTGGGATTATGTGTAGTGAATAAGAGAACATTGACACAAAAGGGTTCTTACACAAATCTAATGGAAACCTTTGAATTTTATTAGATGACTCAAAACCGACTCAAAACCTCTTGCTTATTTCCTCTCACAATTTGATTTGGGAATTTTGTAACATTTGTGTTGCATTATTCATTCCACAGYTTTAACCATACGGCTGAATTTCTCTCTCTTAGCCTGAAGCTGGTGACAAATCACATCATTTTGTTCCAGCCACAATGTGTGGACCGAACTTTTTCTTATTGTTTGTTTGGTCAAAACTTTGTCGTGGGAATATTTATCCAGAAAAGTGGGTGAGCTATCAATGCTGTTGGAYGGGAAGACTCCCAAGAACGTCTGAACACAAGTTTCTTGCTGAAAATAAAATATCTGTGTAAAAAACAAAGAACATCTCACAACACTATACAACACAAACACTGACAGGAATTACACAACTGTTTACTACTCATTAAAGTCTTGGGTATCTTGTTGATGCTACAAGGTAAACTAAAAAAATTAAAAATCTGATATGTAATACCCAGTTATGAATGAGAAACATCAAAACATTCCACATTTCACATTATCATGTGTTATATATATATTTGTTTTTAGAAAGACTTTTGAAAAGGGCATTTRGGGAAACTGATTAACCACACTTTGCCCCACAGGGCATAGAGTGAAAGGGGACAGGTGTAACTGCTTTGTAAGCCAGTCTTAATATGCTTACCTTAACATTTTCATTTCTAATATGTTACTAATGAGTCTATGGTTAACTTACAATGTATTTAAAAACAATTCACGCATTATTCTGTCCCACTCGATTAATTTTTGGCCATCAAAACGATAATACTAACTGACTGACAATTTTGTCAACGACTCATGTCACTGAAAACAAAACAAACACTGATTATTTTGTGTACACTAAAAAAACTAAATTTTGTCTTTATTTTCCTACAGGCATGGGTTGATTTTATACATAAAAAAGGACAATATTGTCTGATTAATAATCATCTTTATAATTTTATATTTAAAATAAAAAAAACAGTCAATTTTCTAAACTAATATGTGAAATGTCATATGTTTATATCAAAGATGTCCAATCCTGGTCCTCAGGGGCCACCATCCTGCGTTTTAGAGGTCTACTCTGTTCCTACACACCTGATTTGAATTAATGAGTAACTAACCAGCTTCTGCAGTACTTTAAGGGGTAATTTAATCTTTGAATCAGGTGTATTGGAGAAATTAAACAAGTAAATCAAACAGGACAACAGCCTTGGAGGACCAGGATAATAACACCACTGCTATATAATATAAAAACATTATTTACTCTTTATGCTTGGTGTTGGTTAAATTGCTCTTAAGTTCATCACTAAAGCCTTTAACTTTGATATTCAAATTCAGTTTTGTGAATTGAACTTATCCCAACTGAATTAGCAAAGTAAACTGAACACAGCAGGCCAAAAAGAGAAAATAAACTAATCATGTTAAAAAAGAAAACATGCAGGTGAGGTCCTTTGTGGTTTTCCTTCAGAAGAAACGTTTCTCTCATGTCCTCAGAACAGCGCAGTCAGATTAAATTAAATTTCAGTGACAAAAACACACACTGGAGTATAAAACCACAGGCAATAAGCCATGACGCATGTTACAGAGGTGCTTTGTAATCCGTTTTAGGAGAAAAGCATCATCATCAGTGATCCTCGCTAAAACGTATCATGAAGCGATTTCTAGCTAAATGAGATCTCGCCGCTTTCGACGTTTTTGTGAGGTGAACTAAAATAAAACGGAATCATGTGTTGTGTAGTTGCTTCTCAGCGGGCATGTCGGCGCTGCAGTCATTCCTGCCGATAGGGGTGTGGAGGGTACAACGTTGCTATTATGTTACCACAACAGCCTGGTGCTGCTGACGCCATTTTCAGAGCGCTTTTCTCAGGACGGCGTGTAAGCCCGGGGAGCCTCGCCACGGGAAGAAAATCCCCCCCAAGAATGCATTTAATCAACTATTTCACACACCAAGTGTCACTCTATCGGTACAGTTTCTGTGTTGTTACCACTAGTCAATTCGGTGAAAGGCCGGGCACTAATATTAGCCTCTCGAAATGCAGTGTTAGCAGAGAGGGGCTACACGCAGTGACATTCGGGAGAGAAAGCGAACAAATTGTCCGAGAGCGCGACTGGTTTTTGTTTTGATTTTTTTTTTACCGCTTAAGACGAAAGCGGGAGAGAGAGAAAAAAGTAAACCATGGCGAAGCAAAGAATATCGTCATTTCAGGCCCAGCCGAAGCCAAAAATAACCCCCCATGGTATGCACCGTCCAAGCTAACGGAAGCTAGCAGCATAATGCGTAGACGACAGGAGTGGATTAATGCCTGGGTCGTCAGACGCAGGAAAATGCGACGACAACAACCCCGTGAGCTAGCAACTCGAGGGGGAAACAAACTACTGCGCGTTTATACGGTAATTCGTGCCGTGCTGGGTCAAACGGGACCATTAAATGGGGCTAGGATTGCCAATACAGTGGCATATTGAGAAGGGCGAAATGTCCAAATGGAAGTTCCCCTCCCCCCACGGGTTGCAGCATTTTGATTCCAGCGCGCAGAAGTGTTCACAAAAATAAGTTCCGAGTTTCCTGTTTGATTCTTCTGGAGTTGCTCTTTTGTTTCAGCTCGAATTCGCAAAGGTCCCTTTAAGACAGCTGTAGTGTAACCAGGCATTTTTTTTTTTAGCTATTTTGACAACTGGTTTGGCTGCCTGGGACATAAACTAAACATTTTCCCCGAATCTGTTTACATGCAACGTAAAAGCTCGTTGTTCCGCGTTATAAAACTTCTCTAAACGGAAATAATACAAAGCAGGGGCGAAGCAGCTCCCAAGGAGTCTAGTTTATAATCTGTTTTAAACGAACCGTTTGGCTACAGTAGCACCGTTACAACAAACACAAGATATCCCCTAACTTATCTGGCATTTATCAAATCTTCAAATCATCTAACAGGCTTACRATGCATGGCTGAAGGGTGTGTAGTGTTTGAAATTCTAGTACCAAGTTTAGGATGTGCACAAATTGCACGCTGAGACGTTTTTGTTGACAGATAAATGAAGCCGAAATAAGCTATCTGCATTATATCACTGGCATCTGTGTTTATGCATGTACAGTATTAATTATAAAGGATGTGATGGGGAAAAGTAGCCTCGTAAAATATCCTTTTTTGTGTATGTTCACACGGGCGAATAAAACCGTGCGCATTATGGCCCGCAATGTCAGCATATCAAACTGAAGTGACCCCCCCCCTGCTTTATATTTGCATGTGTCAACGTTTGGAAACCATTAAATCAGGTGTTTGTAAGAAGCTCGCCAGTGACAATTATCTGTTGTTGTTTCTGAATGAAGGCTTTACTGTGGCTGATCCACGTCAGGCTGCCCCCTGGTTTAAATTGGTGTTTAGATTAATTTACCCTCTCGTGGATGGCAGTCAGTGTAACCAGGAGCATATCTGTGTGATGTTTACTCGATGACTTAAACGAGATTGTTGGTGTATTAACCARCAGAAAGTCCGAGCCCTATTTGGTCTGTCAAGCTAATTTGGGCTAGTAGCATGCGCTAGTTAGCATGTTGATCTCCTGACTTACCAACATTGGAAACCTTGTGCCGTTTAATTACTTGTTTCGCGTTTTTAGTTTAAATAAATGTGAACGGTAAGGCCAGGGCACAATTAGACCCGAATAAAAAAAAAACGGTGCTCGTTAAGTTAAACTCAGCAGATACTTCGTTAGCAGGTGGCTAACTAAAGACAACAATACCCCTCCAGGTCGGTTTTGCGCTCACTTCATAAAGCCTGCTTAATAGAGTTTACTTACCGTTTCAAGTCCACTCTGGAAGATTTAAATAGCGAATAGGGGACCTGGGTAAGACCCCAGTCGCATCTTCCACAACCAAAACAATACTTCAGTCCACACACACTGCGGATTCCCAGCCAAGCTTTAAATGTTGGTAATAATCGCGTTCTCTCGAGATTAACGGGAAAAGCGTTAATTTCGTTATACGCGCACGTGAGAATTAAATAATTCGTAACCGATAAAACTGAGCCCCAGTCAACGGCGACTTTTTAGAAATTAGATCCCCTCAAACCAGTCTCTTTTCCCTTTGCAAAAATGGCGGCCCTGCCAGGACTGCTGAGACTCCGCCTCCCCCCACGAGCCTCCCCCCTCCCCCTCCCGTGCCATCTCCACGCGCGAGCTCCGCCTCCACACACTGCGGGGCTACACTCCCAGTTTGACAGGGGTGGTGTAAGTGTACCCGTGCACCGAGCACGCGCGTTCACAACACCGCTGCCCTCGACAAAAGCTGTAGGGACKGACGTCGTTTACACGCGCGGCTTTGCTAAATAATCACAAAACAATTAAGGCAGCTCGTGAATGTATTATTTTTACTGGGTGTTAAATGTCTGTTAATGTTTTGTGAGCGTATAGACGTTTTGTTTGTGGAAATCATATTTTAGTACATAATTGCCTTTTAAATGAAATCAGCTCAAACAATCCTATTTTCTTTTTATTATTTGTCACTTAAGTTATTATTTATAATTAATATTATAACTTAAAGCTAAATTCCAAAATTTTACTCATCACAACTCATTACTTAGAATCAGATTTCAAACATTTTGTACCATTTTTGTAAAAAGTGAAATGAAAAATACAGAAATATAAGAGAGAAAGCATTTTTTCTTGTAGATACTTTAGATATTTTAGACATATCAACTTATAAACCAATTTTAGTGTGTTTTATGAATATTGTACCTTATATTATTATATTACCACAATCAGAATAATCTAAATGAAAACTTCGTATACCTTGGTAATTGATTTGTAGTTTTAAAAACTTACAGTTTCCACAGATTAAAAATGTGTTGCATTTTTATTGGTCGTTATCTGACTGATGAGGATTCATCAGTCAGTCTCAGTTAACAAGTCTTACATAACCCACCTTTACACACGAGCAGCATTTTGGCCTGTTGTGGCAAAATAAAAGCCCAATTATCAAATTAATTTGTGGATAAATAACAATACCTTAACAATCACTGAGCTAATAAATAACCAACACATCTTTATCTGTGGCTACCTGTCTGAATATGTAAAATTCACTTTGGGCTTTTTTATTTATTTTTTATTTTTAAAAAAATAATCTAATCACAAAAGGTCAGACTCAAATTCCGACTTGCAACATTTTGAATTAAATGCAGTTGTAAAAATAAAGTTTTAGTTCTAATTTATATATATGTTATGGCAGCTTAAAACACACTAACATTTTAGTATTTCTAGAATAGTTTTACTGTTGAGTTAAAGCGAATTCTGTCCTGTCTGTGGTTGTAGAAATCCCTTTGACATCATATGCAGAAACAGGGTGCCGGTCTCATTTGTTGACCCTCCCCCACCCTAAAACTGCGTCCCTATCGCGCATGCGCACTTTTTTCCAGAACACCCGCAACTATCAGTGCTCGCGCGCACTTTGGAGACGACGGAGACACAAAAACGTCGAAGTTGAACCACTCGGGTGTATTTTATTTTATTTTTCTTACGGAAATGTTCTGCTGTCGAGGATACTGCGATCACTGGAATAGAAAACACTTGTCTTGAACCGTGCACCCATCATGATTGCGGTTCGAAGACAATATTTTTACGTCATAATATGGCACACCGGTGGTGAAGCGTAGGGGGGAGCAGTGATTGTCCAAAAGTTAGTGATGAAGGTGGTCATTTTTGAGAATGATGACATCATGCAGTTAGTATTTGTGGGCGGGCTCTGAGCTGTGAGGGGAGAGGGGCGCAACCGGAGAGCACCAACGACCAGGCGCCATTAGGTAAAAGCGTCAAATTAGCGCCTGTGTTTTACAACGAAGCGAGCAGGTGGCTGAAACTCACTTAAACGGTAGAGTTTAGATGTACGCCTGAACAGAGAAGAACGGAAATTATCTTTTTTCCCGTAACGAAAATCGAGAACTTTCTTGACATGAGGTGAAATTGGTCGTCGACTGGAAACAAGATGGCGTCTAGGATTTTTTTTCTTCTCCTGTTTGGGCGGCGGCGGCGGGCGGTGTGCGCGTTCTCGCGACAATGTTATTTCCTGTTTTCGTGTCCTGGAGTAGTTCTTTAATTTTCATGAAACGACCGCAGTCCCGGAGGGCGACCCTGTCGCCGGTGATATAATTTGTTTATCTAGTTTTCGGAGTTCGCGCTGTTCTGGAGGAGGATAAACAATATATTTCTGTACACACAGAAGTGAAACCCCACATTGCAAGAGTTACAGATGAAAAAGTCACACAAGCACATTGTTTACCATTTTCGGCACAAATAAACAACAGCTCAACCATACATTGAGTGTGAATAGATTTGTTCAGATTTTTCTCCATCTAGTGGTTCAAACACGCAATTAACTCAGCTGTCATTTGAACATGCAATAATTTACCAAACTTAATGAAAACGATTTATTCAACATATTTTTGGTTTGTTTTATTAAGATACAAAAAGGCTATATGTTAATCTTTAAGCCACATGTTTGTATTTGAGCTAGTTAAAAATATTGCCAAGTTTTTCTAAAATAAATAAATACAAGTAATGTTAGGATTGACTGCACAGTAAATACTTTTAGTTCAGATGGTGTAAAAATGTGTCAAACCTTGGTCATAAATTTTGGAATTTGATTCTGGAGAAAAGCTTAAACAAAAGACAACCAGCAGTTCTCCGGCAGGCCGACAGGGGGCGCTGTGAGAAGTGCGCTGATTAAAAGCCGAATTACTTCCGGCTGGTGTTCCGGAAGTCGTTTGAGAAACGGGAGAAGGTGACTTCTTTGGTTGCGGTGCTTTGCCCAAATTCTGACAAAGCCCCTCAGAAGACGGGGTTCTGTTGGATAAACAACCATGTCTTCTTTAGGACGGGCTTTTGCAGTCCTTCGGACAGGAGCTCTGCTGTTCAGGCGCAGCCCGAGAAGGATACAGAGCAGAAAGTGAGTTCGTTAGCATTTTAAGCTAATATACATCGATCGAATACAACGCGCTTGTGAAATATCGCCACAGCGAATATATGTAAAAAATGTTAGTTCGCATTTAAACTCGTGYGCGTTTTGTTGATGTTTCAGAGCTAGCTGGGAAACGGAAACTGGACCACTATACAGAGAATGTCCAGTACCGTCGAAGAAGCTGCGGTTCGATGCGGAGTTCCTCAGTGCGAGTATGTGGTTCTGGATCCTGTGGCATTTTTGGCACAACCCAGAAGCGGTGATAGTGAGTAAAGCTTATTTTCTACGTGCGAGAAAATATCACACACTTGTGTAAATCGTTGTGAAGGCCTACTCCGAAAATCAAAACAGCCACAGAATTTACAAAAAGCGTCTTACGTCTACTTGTAGGGTCACTTTCCCTGGCCAGACGCCTCTCAGTGGACTGATGAGGAGCTTGGTATTCCACCAGATGATGAAGAATAAGGTGATCTTTTCATTTTGTCTATACTTTAAGCTTTTCTTGGGAAATGTCTTTTGTAAACAGAGCTCTGATCTGAAAACCTGGCATATTGTTTTTACAAAGAGAGGATAACTGGATGAGCTTGGATTAACCACCGATCAAGACGACTTTAAAAATAACTAGGATGTTTTGCGCTTTGAAGCAAAATATGGTCTGCTCAAGACTCTTGCACATTACTGTAAAGCTCATCTATGTATATTTTTCTTTTTGCAGATGAACATGTGGAATATGCATTCTTTGGCAAGGCTTTATGAAGTCTGGATTTTCTGAAAGTTTTTGTTGTAATAAATTAATCTTTAAGTTAAACGGCCTGGTTTTAATTGATTGACCAAAAAAAGCAGTTTTATTACATCAGTTTTATTTACACGCAACCTTTGAAATGCTGTAACAAATGCAACGCATAAACAGTGTCACAGTTAGCCAGTGTTTGTATTATCAAATCATAAGCCATTTAAATCTGGGAAAATCAACACACAACACAAACGCTGAAAAGGGGGGAAAAAGAGGGGGTGACAAATCCTGTGCGGTGAATAATACAGCTTATAAAAAACCCTCCCTGCGGGCCCAGCTTTTTTTTTGTTTTGTTTTTTTTAATGACTTGGCATGCAGAGTTCAAAAAGTGTAGTGTAAGAAAAAAATAAAGCTAGGTAATTAGCCTAGCCCTGTGATTAACACTAACTTTCTATAACTTAAAAACACCTCATCAGGGCTGATATTGTTCACACAGTTACTTGCAGGTCAACCTGAGCAAAGCTTTCCAAGTCTCTGTTCAAGAAACGGTCTTAAAGCTACACATTTACCTCAACGCCGTTCGAGTCGACTGGATGTTTTATGAGCAACACTGAGGCTGAACGTGTGGGAAGGACAAGGGACAATACCAAAGACTGGTTAGGTTGGAAGATACAAATGTTAAAAGCTTAAGCAGAGTGTATTTGTGCAACTTGAAGAGAACAAACCTCAGTTTTCTTTGTTTGTTTTGATTCGTCGGAGGGCGTCCTGTCTGCATCCATGATGTGGCTGGTGGATAATCAAAGGTTATGTCCATGGCATCATTCCCTGAGAGTGAAGAACTGCGCACCCAGAACAAAACACATATTTCACATCTGCACTGGCATTAAAATATAAAACAAACTAAAAAGATTACCCACTCATCCCATTAAAGTTACTTATTTTCAACTTCTGAACAGCTTTGGATCAACCACAGTGGCTCAGATACTTTTTTTTTTGCTAATTAAGGGTAAGTGGCACTGACTGGAAACAGATGTAGATTTGAGGTTAACCTAACCAAGTCTGTTAACACACAGCTGAACGTCACAAAAGAAACACAACTGACACAGGCTCAAGTCAACTGGGGCAGGAAGTCGTTCATGACAAATAGAAGGTAATAAAARTCTGTAGGTAAACTGCTACTTGACAGACTAAAACATCCACATTTACAAAGAAAGAGTTTAAAAGATTAAACAATAACCCCCTACAAAGAAACAAAAATAATCCTCAGAACAGCTGAGATTTCACTGTCATTTCAGAATAAAATCATTGATTCTTTCAATTAATAAATACACCATATTCCATAAAAATAACACGCAAAAAACAGATCAAATGAAAAATAAATTAAATGAGTCGCTTCAAAGGTAAACGACTCAATTCCTATTGAAAACTAATTCATAGAGAGGCAGCACTTTGAGCAACTATCTTTTTTTAAACTAATTAAACAGTGCAGAAGAGAGTAAAGTCTGCACCGAATAGTGCAAAGTCTGCTCCGGACTTTCCAGCGAAACACGATGCGTCGCAGTGCTGCCTCTCCTTTCCTCCCCCCTCAGAGTCATTATTGCTGGTGTGATTGAGATCAAAAGGGAGGTAAAAGTTGGGGAAGGTGGGGGCTTAGAGAAGCGAGTGGAGGAGAAAAATAAAATTAAAAAAGCACCATTTGAAATATCAGTTCACTGCCTCTGCTTTCTTTAAGGTAGCACCACGTTTCCCGCTCACCACCAGGGTCAAATGCTGCTTCGTCTTGTTCAGCTTGCAGAGAAGCAAGCAAATCAGGAGAGGAGAAAAAAAACATGAGCAGAGTGATGCAGATGATGTCGTCTCCCTGTTGGATGAAGCATTTCTGTCTTCGTCCTCTTTGAATGCCCTCGGAAGCTTCGGTCCACGTTTTCTCCGCTTCCCGTTGCTGTTTTTTTTTTTTTGTTGTTGTTTGTTTTGTTTTGTAGTGTGCTTGTTGTGAAGTCGTGCATTACGCTTGTTTCAGATCCGATACCCTGTCTCCTCAGCATGCACAGTGAGCGCCTTTTACATGTCGAGATTTGTTCTGGTCGTCTGCAGGCAGTGGGTTTAAACCCCCCTTGTTTTCCAGCAAATATACAAAAATTTTATTTTTTCTCTTCCTTCTTCAAGTAAGCCCTAAATCATCAGAACGTTTTTTTTTTCTTTTTTTTTAATGTTTCAGGGGGGAGAGAAGGTTACACGAAGACGCGGCTGTGTCTGTTGAGTTTTAGGATCTTGCCCAGTCTTTGCTTAGCTGTGGCCATGCCTTTTTTGGGCCTTTTACCTGGGGGGGAAAAAGGGGAAATGTGATGAAATTATTGACATAACTAAAGATAAAATATTAAAGCTACACCTCACCTTTAATTTGAAATCTCTTTTTAATGATAAATACCTATAATAATGCYATCAGGATATTTCAGATAATTATTTGAAAGCAGAAGGTGAGTTTGTAAATCTGAGTTTCTACAAACTCAGGTTGAAAGTGAACAGAGGGTAAACAGTTTAGAATAATCTGATTCTCCAACCTTTCGTGGCCTGATTGCTGACAGGTGGGGGGTTGGGGGCGTGCCTCTTCGAAGGGTGCAGCGGTGGGGACATGGAGGGGTCACAGTACTGGTAGTCTGTCTCTGGGCTGGGCAGCCCTTGATTGTCCCAGGTCTCGCTGCTGCTGTTGCCCTGGCTGTCCATGGGGCTACTGCCCCCCTGCAGCCTGTGCTGCGGCGACTCCTGCGGCGAGCGCCGGCTCGGGCTGGACCACCAGGGCTCCCGGGGCGACGACACCTCACCYGGCTTGGAGGAGCAGAGCAGACCGGCCATGGACAGCATCCCCTGAATGGCCTCTTCGGTGCTGGGTGAGGTAGGACGTTCTCTGCAGGAGGCAGCAGACACATCATCACTGATGTTTTTTTTTTAAGTGCCTCGATTCAAACTTTGAGAGTTTTTCTCACCGTTTGAGTGGTTCGTGTTTGTGCCTGAGATTCTGGCCAGACTGGTCCAGCTCGATGGTATGCCCTGAGCCCATCTGCTGAGATGAGCCCCTCTCTTCCTCTTCCTCCTGGGAACTTTCAGAATCGTCGTCCGAAGACGAAGAGGATGACGATGATACTTTCCGCTAAATCGGGACAGAAATTAAAAAAGGAAATTCATCAGTAATTCCAGCAAAGACTTTCAGATTTACTGTTTTATTTTAAACTAGAGAATTTGTGTTTCATGTGAAAATGCAGTATGAAAGCTTGATGCTGAAAGACTTTTGCTGATTAGCTTAAAAAAAGCTGAAACTAGCCTAAAATAGCTTTAAAAATTAGAAATAGGTTAAAAGTAACAGATTGAGCATGTTTGCTGAAGTAAGCAGCAAGAAGTTGAAATTAGCATAAAAAGGTGAATTTGGCTGAAAAAAGCTCAAATTAGCTTAAAGGTAGCTAAAAAACAAAAAACAGCTGAAAGAATAAAAAGTTGCTAAAATCAGCAAAATACAAGACACATTAAGCTGAAATTAGCATAAAATTGAAAAAGAAAAAAAATCAGAACCAGAACGAAAAGTATAGCAAAAATTTATAAATATTTTGAAGGTTTTTGAGAATATTGATGAAAGTGCCATCCTGTCTTTGAATAAGAATAAAAGTGTCTGAAGTAGCTAAATATCTCAAAAAGGATAAATTGCTAAAATACTAAAAGTCCTTGCAGGAATATCCCAGAGGAGTAGAATGTTTTGATAAATGAATTGTACAAATAGCACAAAAAATGTGAAATGAGATACATGCAGAAAACTTTAAAGGGATCCCTGATTAGGTGTAACATTAGACTTTATATGATAAACATATACTTTAACTGTAAGATAAAGACTGTAAAAATACTGTAGGATGTTCAGTTTTTATCATTTTTAAACTAAAAGCTTAAAAATACATTACATGGACGGGGCCATTTTATTTACACGCAAAGCATTCTGGGTAAATGATGACATCAATGGTCCTCGGTGCGAGGCTGCTAGCAAGCTAAATCCAACCTGAAGGTTAATCCTGGACAATATCTGATGATCGACTCTTTTAAATGAAACCAGAGAGCGTTGACAGAGAGGAACCTCAGCTTAGCCTGTTAGCTTTAGCCCCGACGCTTTCACCATATATATGTATTAGCTCAGCGCTACACATTCTCCTCTCATCACTGAGGTCCTCCATCCACATGACAGAGAGGGGAACAYAAAAATAACTCAGCCTGYAACTGAAAATAAGGATGGAGGACCTCAGTTTAGCTTGTTTGTCGCACTAGCGCCGAGCTAATACACATAAGGACATATAGCATGAGGGCTAACAGGCTAAGCTGAGGTTCTTCTTCCATGAAGCAGCTCTGTTGTCCTCCATCCATATTTTCAGTTACAGGCTGAGTCATTTCTACCTTCTCCTCTCTGGTTTCATTTAAAAGAGTCGATCATCAGATATTGTCCAAGATTAACCTTCAGGGTGGATATAGCTCGCTCATACCGCTGACCTATCCACGTCATTATTTACCCAGAATACTTTGTGTGTAAATAAAATGGCTCCATCCATGTTAAAATATATTTTAAAAAAATTACAAAACTAAACAGCCTACAGTATTTTTACAGTCTTTATTTCACAGTTAAAATAAATGTTTTTCAAATAAAGTTTAATGGTACAACTAATCAGGGATCCCTTTAAGAAAAATGATCAAGTAACTGTTTCTACTTAGTTTACTTCACACTGCTGTACGTATCAGACAGGAAATAAAATGTCTCATAAAARCTGTAGGTTATTTACTTCTGTGGGAGAATCGCTGTCCGACTCCACGTCCGACACACTGGAGTGTCCTGAGACTTCTTCCCTGAGTTCATTCTTCACCGTCTCCAGACCCCCTGGGACACAGAGGAGAGCACCCCATCAATCAAAGCTCTTTATAATGAACATGSTGATTATGGAGCTCGGCCACCGGCTTACTGAGGAGCGTGGGTTTTTCAGCTGTGCTGCGCTGCTCTGGACCGCCCTGCGTCTTCTCCAGCTTCACAACCACACAACTCTTTAATGAGCCGTGGACACCAGACGGCTGCTCGTCCTCCGTCTTTACAGGACTGCTGCCTGGTCGCCTTAAATCTCTGCACAGAGACAAAACATGACAGAATGTTAACTCTTCTTCTGTTTATCTGTTATCCAAACATTAAGTGTCGACTAACGACTGTTTCACCTGATGATTCTTCCGTTGACCATCATGAGCCGAAGGTGGTTGTCCTCCAGCGCCTCGGCCACAGCTGCTGCAGATGCCGTTGAAACTTTATTAAATTTCGCATGAACCTTGGCAGAAAACCCTGGATCCTGGGGGCACAGAGTAACAGCTGATCCTTTATTTGATCTGTGCGACAAAGCTCGATCTTGAGCCAACAAGTCAGTGCTGCTCAAACATCAACACAATATTTATCCCTGAAGCTCACCTCCTCTAGAGGTCCCACCTCCAGCCGCTTCAGGACCTCCCTGGTGTGCTGCTCCAAGATGTCCAGGTTGGAGGGCACCCTGGGGGCCTGCCCCTGCTGCTCCCTCAGCCGCCTGGCGGCCCTTCTTGCTCGCCGCGCCTGGCACAGCCTCTCCAAAGAGCGAGTTGTGAGGCACTCGCTCATTCCAGACGGTATTCCACATCCCTGAGATTTGACTGGCTTACTACCACTTAATGGTTCCTCCTAAAGAGAGAACAGAAGGATCATCATCTAGTTATTGAGGGCAAAGGACAACTTCAAATCATTAAAATTATTCATTGTACCTCGGCAAACGGTAAAAACTATGGGATAAATCTTGTGCCAAGGAATTTGAATTGCATTGGTTTGAAAATAAGTTTCACTAAATTGAAATTGATATTAATGATTTGTATCTGAATTAATTTGCTTTGAAACTGTATTTTGGTTTATTAAAAAGTCAGTTTGACTTTCACTTTCAGCTCCAAAATTCAGATTTTTGTGTCACACATCCTGGTCCTTGAGAAAGCCAGCCAGAGTAATCAAACACAGATCCACAGATTTCCCTTTCACTTTGGTGAAGTTTCTCTTCTGTAATGTAACAGAGATGATGTAATCCACTGTAAAAGTGACAAAAAGTTATTTTATTGCAGTGATATGTAGAAAATGTTACATTTACATCACATCATGGATCACATATTGATCAGCTGCTGCTTCTGACTGATCCATGATGTGATGTAAATGTAACATTTTATACATAGAGTAAAATTAATAACTGCAGTAAAACAACTGTCTGTTTTTGTCACCTTTACGGTGGATTGCATCAACTCTGTTAAGCCCCATCTCCAGGAACTCGGTTCTACTTGATTCACTTTGGGTCGGGTCGGTTCTGCTCAGTGTGTGCGTCTCCACGCAGTGTCCCTCACTCTGTGGGTGTGATTAAGTGCGGACCGTCCGCAGCGGCTTCAACTGTTGTGTTAATAAAATAAAATATTTTAAAAAAGCTGTTGTAGTCTTACCGTTCGGACTTTTGCCTACGTTTTTTTTGTGTGTCGCGGTGCTGTTTATAAGTTCTTGTGTAACCGTGGGCGGCCAGTTTGTTGGAAACCTCCCGATTATTTGCTCAGCTTCGTCTCCTTCACCTCTCTCCAGGAAGTGTTTACAAGTTCTACTTTTCTCAAGATCACCAAAAAGGTTAGATGGATTTATCACTGTTTTTACCATGTTGCTGTATTGCGCCGCGCGCTCGTATTCCAAAACAAAGGCGTCTCTCTCCACGAGGAAGTTTGCACAAGTAACTCCTCCGTCAATCAATCCCAGAGCTAATCCACAGACAGAGTTCTGCTGAAGTGAAAAGTGCGCTGTACTCGCTTCTACCCGCTTAGAAGCACCGAAGTGGAGGTTCTGAAACAGCGCGTCTGTGCGCGGTTCAGCGCTCTTGGAAACTAACGGAGACACATGGGGCCGAGACCGAGCCAACTCAAACTGCGTAAAAGTGGGTCCGTGGAGATGGGGCTATACATACAGAAGAGAAACTTCAAAGTGAAACATAAATCTGTGGATCTGTGTTTGATTACTCTGGCTGACTTTCTAAAGGACCAGGGGTCGGATTTATAAAACTGGCGTACGCACAATTTGAGCCCAGAAACTTGCGTACGCCACTTTTCACGCC